CCAATTCTATATAAATTATATAAATAATTAAAATACTCTTAGTTACCTAAACTTCTTAAGAAAGTAAATGAATGTATTTGTGATCGGGAGAAAAAAAATTACCATTATTAATACACAGGGAATTATTGAGTCAGAAAATTATTGGTATATTATTAAATTCACGTTGGAGTCTGGCATTATAATCAGTGTGTCTAGGTGAAAATATTAGATTAATAAGTCAGTTAAATAAATATTAGGAACTAGCTACTTCCGCGCGGTTTCACACGCTCTGCTCAGCTCCTATTGCTCGTAGCGTGATGTTTTATAGCCTATAGCCATCCTCGATAAATGCGCTATCCAACACAAAAAGAATTATTCAAATCAGACTAGTAGTTACGGAGATTAGCGCGTTTAAATAAACAAACAAACAAACTCTTCCGCTTTATATAATAGTATAAGATTTAAATTAAGAAATTCTCAATAATAACACGGTGTCTGGCATTATGACCAGTGTGTCTGCCTCAGTTTTTTTTGTCTGGTTAATTACAAGTGGGTGGTTTTTTCCCGATCACAAAAACAATCGAAATACCATTTTTTTGTACATTTTATAAATACGAACTTTTTTTTAACTTTGTACACAATTGTATAGTTTTAAGGAAAACTTTTCCTATAATAAAAGAAAACTGTGTAAATTTTATTGTCTGTGTCTTTTATTTTACTTAATAGGGTAGATGCCTAATTTTTATTTTAATGTCCGTCCGGTATATTATTTTAAATCATTAGACACGTATTTTTTATTTTCTTACAGAAACGAATACTTTCGGCGATATATTGATTTGAAATGTCGCGTGACGTCACTTCTATGTACATTTTATACGTAGAAATGACGTTTTAGCCCCCACTCCTAATTTTGATTCGTTTTATCTAAGTATTGTTTTATTATACGACAAAATAAAAAAATACGTGTCTAACTTACGGACTAATTACATTTTTAATTTTCATACCCTGTCATTATCCCAATTGCCCACTGCTGACCAAAGGCCTCTTCTCACACAGAGAAGGTTTGAACATTAATTACAACGCTTATAATTAGAAATAATAAGCCCAGGTTTCCTCACGATGTTTTCCTTCGCCGTTTGTCAGTGGTGTCTAGATAATCTTAGAAAGTACATATAACTCGGAAAAAACATATTGGTTGCTTGCTGCTGCGAACCTTCGCACGCCCGCTTCTGATACATGTGAAGTGGGCGTGTCCTCCGAGCCAAGACGACGATCCAAGATTTTAGGTACA